GGGAAGGAATAGACACCCCCCCCCCCTCCCTCCCCCCTAATGAACACATGAGAAGCATCCAGTTAAGAGTGTTTCCTTAAAAGTTGTGCATCTGCCCGAGAGGCGAGGAGCCAACAGTCTGCATACAAATAGGTGAGATCTGTATAGAAATGTTTATGCAAAACTCAAGTCCTACAAGACCAAAGTCCAGAAGTGGGTTAACAAACAACATTTTCCGCCAGAATTCACAGCCGGTAAAGACTAAAAAATAGAAACAGCTTCAACGACACAATAACTGGTTTCAAATCCCATGTCGAGACGGGTCATTTGAAAGCTGATTTGTGTCACCCAAAGATTAAAAAAAAAGTACTAGAAATTTTTCTGGGAATTAATAGTGGCAAGGATGAGAGATACCCTAAAAAAAAGAGAGAGAGATAGAGAAATCTGTGTGTGGAAAATTTAAGTAGTGGACAACAAACAGCAAATTGTGAGCCACATTCTGATTAAGCCCTTTACCGCCAATGGAGCATAGACCACAATTAAATCATGCCAAGTCTTCACACCCATATCCTTCCTATCATTTTAAATTCCCCTTCTAGTTTCCTGCATGTGTTTTTGGTCTGCCTTTATCTCTATGCCCCTTTGGGTTACGGTGTAAAGCCCCTTCTAGTTATACACTTTTCTCAACTTGTGTCCTATCCAAAACCAGTGTCTTTTGTACATGTCTTGATTATTTATAATTTATTTAGTTCTTTAACAAAGCTCCACAACAGTAATTTTATGAAACCATTTCTTTTACTTTGTGTTCACTGGCTGTTAGCCCACCTCTTGGCTCAAGTCTTGTTTCAGAACCTGAGTGTTGCATGCACATCCGTTCTACAGATCTGACTTAGTAAAGAGATCTCAGGGAGATGCACTCTGACTTCAAAGGAAGCCCCCCACTTAGTCGACTCTTACGACATGCATTTTTTAGTTAGGGAGGCACTGAGTCTATTCATCTTTCCCCACAACAGGAAAAACCATTTCATTCCTTCTATTCAGCACAAGCACCCATTAATAGTTTATGTAAGCAACACTGGCCTCATTAAAATATCAGATGATTTAGAAGGTGGTAGTGCCATGATCTCACTGCCTGGTCCAGACTAGCCATCTGTACTAGACGAGGCTTGGTGTAATGGTGTGATCGTCTTAATGTACGTAAATTAAGTGAACACTATACAAAGAAAACCACTCAGAAAATACTAAGGCAAGAAACAAATGAGTGCACTCACTTTGGAATCTAAACTAGATGATGATGCACTGGATCCTGATGAATCTCTATGCTTGTTCATTAAGCGCCCCAGGACCGGCAGTCTCTTCTGATATAATCAAAACAACACAGCATTACTAAAAAGGATGATTATTATTATTTGCTTATATTGAAAGGTGATGATACTCCATGATACTTTAATAAATTTAGTTATTATGTATTATTACTTGACCCAGCTTAAGTCGGGTACCAGGAAATATCCTGGCAAGTAAATGCACCAATCCATCGTGTCTGGTCTATTAAAACCGTATGCTCATTGACTCACTGGTGTGAATAGTATCCTTTACTTACCCAGTGCATACCCATATTTTTTCTACCAAGTAACATCATGCTTCAATAAGACCACATGAAACCTGCTTGTTCATTTAATCAGTGGTTTTACTGATTAAATTATTATGAAATTGTGTTTTTGGTTCTGCTAGACAACAAAAAAAAACAGCATTTAACTCGGTAAAACTTTAACCAATTTACAATAACTATGAGCAATTGAGAATCTTAGCGCAATGTAACGGACAGAGAAAATATTTGTGAAGCTCGGTCGCCATACCCACAACTCCAAAAGGACATGAAAAAAGGGCAAAAAATAGACAAGATTACTGCGTATTTACAAATAACTGATGAGCAATAATTAAGCATTGGAAAAATGACTATCAATGTGAGAATCTTAGTAGCAAGATCAACTGAGTCTATTAGTCATCACCTACACAAATCGTTCATCTCGTTAAAGCACAACAACTATCAATACAGCCCTACACCTGACAAGATCGGATGTGAAGCCATAAAGTTTCCCAAGATAAGATGGATTGATGATATTAATGACAGTCTATAACCAGTACTGAGTTATGGGTTAAGAACTGACATCATAGCACTCAGGACACTCCAATAAGTGTTCTGCCTCCATCTTCAGCAGTAAACGCAGACTTCCAGTTCTGATGGTGCCAGTAATGGTCTGTCTGTATGTCTATCCCACTCCACCCACAAGTGTTGGCCAGATCACCTGGTCACTACAGATGAAATGACAGTAGCCAGCGCAACTTATCGAGCAGTGGATCACAAATTTTACCCCCTCCTGACGCTTAGTGAGAAAAGTGGAAACATGATGATGAAAAAAGAAATCAAAGACAACCTCTCCACAAAGGACTCACCTTAATTGAAGCACCGATAGACCTGCTGCGTCTACGTAGCCCACTGCAAAACTCTGGTGTGTCAACAGACTTCATGATCTGTTTCTTCAGCTTAGCACAATAAGGGGTGTTGGGCAGTGTCTGCATATGTGCCAGCAGGTTGGCCAGTTCTGCCTGAGTGTTGCTAGCAACATCATCACATTTGGACAGTTCACGGTCAGCATAACACACATTTGTGTATAGTGTCTGCCCACTCAGTGATTTCTGTAGACATTACAGCAAGGCAAAACTGAGAATATGCATTTTTTGCATGTCTTTAAGAATACATTTTTATTACACTTTTAATGTTCTGTAAGAAAAAAATATGTATTTTATGCATGTCTTAAATTCAAGAATATTTTAATTATATGTTTGACGTTCTGCCTAAATATGTACTACTATTATATACCTATAATTTATGATGTGAAGTACGACAATTAACCAACGTCGTCCCCATGTGGGATGCAATTTTTCATTATTTTGAAGCCCCACCCTGGCGGTCGCCGGGGGCCGTAATATAACCTAACGGTTAAACTCTGTTTCTGGGACATCTCTACAGGCGATCCTCATCCACATGGTGGCACTTTGTATCGCCAGGTGTTTATTGCTCTGTGTGATGTCCTGGTGGGGTAAAATTTACTTACTGATGTGAAGTATTTTTATTGGTGCTTACTGCTACTACCTCGTGTTTTCTACAGCAACTATATTTAAAAAAAAAAAAATTTTACAATTTTATTTAGATACATTTAGACATTTTCATAAATACCTCAGTAAGTGAACACCTAACAAGCTCAGATGTAAAGCGACAGAGCACCCAGCAAGACTACGGACCGATGATATTAATGACAGTCTATATCCACATAAATATTTACGTAAATAAAGGCAGTCCTTTAGAAGAAACTGTAAGGGTATAGAATATTATCTCTTCATATATAAATATATATATATAATTCCATTATAGATAGTTGGCTGATTTCCCCCCCCCCCCCCCCCCCCCCGAAAATATTTCAGTATCAATTTTATAAGACTGAGTTGACCCGCGAATCTTATTCAATTATTGCACTTATTTTTCATCATATTCTGCATTTGCCCTTCAAAGGATGGCTGGCAAGTTATGTTGTGGTTCGCACTGAGACTAATTAATAAATCCTATCTACACTACCGCGGCGTCCGTGGCTAAGGCGTTGCGAGTCCGACTCGTAATCCAACGTACCGCGATCAAAACCCACTGCGGGCTGCGGGGATTTTTATCGTGGTATGGGACGTCGCAGGTTGACCCAGCCTCAAATGGGTACCAGGATGGGCTGTCCTGGGAAAGTAAAGACAGCCGGCGTAATGCTGACCACATTACCCACCGAGTGCTGACGGTCTGTAGAAATATGGGCGCTCTTCCCATATGCCCGATACGCCTAAAGGCGTGAAAGGGATCTTTACTTTTCACTTATCTACACTACCATTCTTAAGTAAAGATCATCATCCTTTTCTTTACAACCTCTTTTACCACTTTGGGTGTCGAGGGAGAATAAGGTCTTGCTTCGTGCTCTTCTGACCATAGATACATAATGCTGGTGTAGTTTTTCTTTGATGTTATCTTCTCATCTTGTTCTTGGTCTACCTCTTGCTCCATGTCCCTCTCTTCTTTTGGTATATGCATTGATGGTATAGCATCAGAAGGCATTCTCTCAAAGTGAGCAATCCAAAATCATCAATCATAGGAAATCAAAGTTTGCTAGCTCACCTGCATCTGACTAGACTCTCTGTTTTCTGACTGAAGAGGCGCTTGTCCGATTGAACTCCAAAATTTAGCCAAATCCATGACCAACTCTTTGGGTGGCTGAAAAAAAACATGTGAATACAAACCTCAGAATCTGCCATCTTTAAACAGCCTTCTCAATTTCAAAATGATATTCAGTCACTAAGTGATACTTTTATAATTACAATGCTTAACACCTTAAATGGTTTATTTCAGACCATCATTCCTAACTGAGGGGTTAACATGAAAGTGAAAATGCTCACAAAACTACACTAAAAAAAAATAAAATAATTATTTTGGAACCTAAAATGGGAGCTCACAAAAACTTCATAATGAAAAGAAAACTGCCTTGCAAGATAAAGCGGGGAAAAAAAGGCCCAAATTACAGGGCTCTGACAACATGTGATGTTTATGATACTGACAACATGTAATGTTTATGATAATGATAACATGTAATATTTGTGATACTGATAACATGTAATATTTATGATACTGATAACATGATAACGTGTAATGTTTATGATACTGATAACATTTAATGTCTGTGATAAATAAAAAAAATTGATTTGGCTTAACATAAATACATAAATAACACATAAGTAAAAGCTACAACTAACTGCCAAAATTTCTAAATTATACTTGTCCACTAGAAAACTCTGGAGTGATTATAACATATGATCCCTGTGGTGTAAAAATGAGAGTGGCTTTTAAGTGACCTTGCTGTACTACTGCACAGTTCGAAAAAAGAATGAAAAGAAGTGAAGCAGAAAACAAAAATGTATACATAAAAACATACCTTAAATAACTCATGGGCTTTATCAATCATGAAGCTGACAGCTGGGGCAGTTGTAGTGATCTGACAGTACAGGTCTCTTGGCTGCACTTTTCTCTCAATGAAAAACATGGGGGCAAATATGGTCCCCAGTGTGGCCGCAGTCATCTTTGACTCGGGACTGTCCGCAATTCTCTGCAGGAGCTGCAGCAAATGCATGGTCAGCTTCTGTACTGGAGGTGGCAACAGCAGCATCAGCAGCTGAAGGGCTGACAGTTTTCTGGAAGAATACCGAGATATGTCTTCTGGTGATCTGGCGTGCTGTCCAAGAGCTGAGGAAGATATGGTGAAGCATATGGCATAAATCACATACCCAAAGCAATTCACCTCAAGAAAGTAATATGTTCAGTCTTCAAAATTCAACCTGTGCAGATACCCAATTCAAACATATCATTCAGTCATTACTAGTTTTTACGTTCAGTAGTAATGGAACCCCCCCCCCCCCCCCCCCCCCCCAGTTCCCTTTTGTTGTTGTTGCATTTGGCCCATCAGACGTAGCATTCTAGACCATGTTAAATGTAGAACAAATTAGTCTAAACCACCCTATACTTGTACACTGTTAAGTGTATATTAAACAAAAGTTCTAACCTTCAGTTTAAGGCAGTTGTTCCAGCTATGCTGCCCTTAATCCTCAAATTCAATATCCCTCCAGTCAGACACCACACTGGACAACAATGGTTATTAACTCTTTCACCACGAAAAGGCTAAAGCTAGTCACTTCTGGTTGTGACACAGCCCTGTAAATGCAGACGTATCGTATGGCCATTTCTGCAGTGACCTGCTAATTTCCATTGGCCCTAAGAGCACCTGCATAGTGTTTAAGAGGCCAGGATGTGAATATATTAACTAAATATATGATTTAGAGGTGTTTTCCTTGCCACCTCAATGGTTTATAAAAAAAATCAAAAAAAAGAAGCCAGGTTGACTTTAAGCCTGTGAACCTCACTGATATAGGTCACAGGATCAAGGCATGAGTAAAGTGAACAAAACTACATTTTTAAACATTTATCAGTTACCTGTGAAAAATAGTTTTTTTAAAGGGATTTTTTCAGGAAATTCTTCTGGGTTCATGACCTTCTCCCCTTCCTCCCCCCCCCCCCCCCCCAGTTATTTTTGGATTTAAAGGGGCTGAAGGTATAGAAAAGGGCCATTTACTATTTCCTATGTTGGCACCTATGGCTTAGGAGCTGCAGACAGCTTTGCGTAAAATTTCAGCAATGATATGGAGAGCGGGCTGTTCTGAAGCAATATCAAACCACTGAGCGTAGTAAAGTGATCATTAGGTTTTTTTTTTATTTTTAGACATCAAAAAAAAAAAAAAAAAAAAAAAAAACAGCCCTAATATCCTGTAAAGGATAGACTAGCTTTTTAAAAAAGAATTAGTATGACCCACTATATATGCATCACTGAAAACACTTTCTTGTCTACATACAACCGTATGCCTTACCTAATATTTGCCTGTGAGCCTCCAAATGACGTTCAGTGAGAAGAGGTTCTGGCAGCTCCCTTACAAACTCCTTCAGTATACAAGCTACATCGTTTGGGGAAAAGATTTCTGGGTCAATGCTGACCGCTGGGCCTTTGGCAATCAGAAGCTCTTTTAATGTGGTCATTCTGCTCTTGTTGCCTGGCTTACGGAACAGACCTTCTTTGGTAACATCTGTACAGGAAATTTTTTTAAATATTTAATGGTTATTAACAGGATTTCCTAAACTGCATCTTTAAAAAAACAAAAATGCTTTAGTAAAGGCACTGGGAGTTGGAGTGTGATCAGGAAAAAAAAAAGCTACTATCATTCACTACTGGAAGTATACAAATGTATACAGGATCCGAAACTCTCAAGAGAAACATCTAACATAAAAAAAATTTTTTTTTTTTAAATTTAGCCATAACACATATCACTTAACATGTTCATTAAAACATTCTAATCTGGGCTCATTTCAAAGAGTTTTGTAAAATACCAAAACTAATCTAGCACAGTTCACATATTTGAGTGCCTGTTATCAGGCAGGAATGGTACTTCTTTCTACCTTATCCGGACAATACAAATTGTATACGGAATAGCAACAGCTGTAACATTTGTACTATTACTAGTATTACCACATGGTATTAGGCCAAAGGGGTGAAAACAAACACTAGCTCTGCCTGAATCGAGAACACTTTCCTTACACAGAAAAACTCAACAAGAGAGATCAGATAGCTAGCTGTACATGCTTTGCCTCTGTAAAATGTCCAACAATTGTGTAATTGTACAGTTTGTGTTGTAAATTTAAATTTTTTTTTTTTTAAACAAAGGGGATGAAAACTATATTATATTTGTCTAAAGGAGTAAAGATGAATGGTAAAATAGTTTAGAACATACTTCATACAGTAACATAATTAAATTATAGCTGATTTACTTGGTATCTGCTTAGTAGCAAAGTAATGCTAGTCTAGACATTTCTTACTTCATCTACAAGAATCTTAGATAAACAAAGCCAGAGTCAAACCTGCACGGTTTGGCTGCAATTCTAGCTGTTCAGAAGTGAATACATGTGCTCATGGTCAGACAGAAGAGGTCACTCTACTGAACGACACCTAACTTGCATAGTGATCTTCTTTGTTCAGCGAAATAAATTTCACTATTTCAAGTGATGGATAATTGGGTGGTCAAGATCTGACTTTCCTGTCAACTATGGTGGTACTACTAGAAACTGACCATACTACTTTAATCTGGGCTAAAGTTTAGGGATCAACCAGCAAGGACAAGTCCTGTCCCCAACATTTCCTTAAACATGCCATGCTGAGGTGGCAAGTTTAGAAAGGTCCACATGTTTTGCTGTATACAAACTAAACATCTTCTGCCTCTTCTTTTGCAACGTGTAATGTCCAAAACTAATTTGTAAAATGTAAACATCTGATAATCAAATATAGTTTCTTTAATATCAGGCAAAAGAATGCTAATTTTATTTAAGTGTAACAAAACTTGAAAGCTTGAGACTTACTCTTTTCCATTTTCAGAAACTTAATTAGAGGCATCATGAGACAAACTCCCTCATCTGTTAAGGGATTACCAAACAATCCATGTGACTTATCTGTAGAAACAGAAGAAAAAAAAACTTGAATCTGTTTCTGGGACACATTTATGACGTGATAGCTATAACTTTACACTGGCACTAATCATCATGTAGCAGGCCTTAACTTTACTGGCAAACTGGGAAAAGGGTCATTTTTTTTTTTGGGGGGGGGGGGGGGGCTAGTTCCGCTATAGCCCCCCCCCCCCCCCCCCCCCCCCCACACACACAGAGACCACCCATATAAACACTAGGTCACTTCTGATCGGTCGACATTGAGTTACCCGACCTTGACACAAGGTGATGTGGGTGTTCCCTAATGCTGTTGATATCAAATGTTCTATATTTCTGCATGTCAGCACTCTTAACACTACAAAAACATGCAGAAACTAGGTTTAACACTAACCCCCTAGAGAGTGCTGCAACCGATGTCACAGCCATTCTTTTTCTAAAAAAAAAAAAAAACCTAAATGCAAGACAAGCCAGAGTGACACACCCGTAACGCTCATGAAAGTAGACCAGTTCAAAAAAGTTATGAATGGAACCTGACCTACTTTCTCTGGAGAGACTTATTTTTAATTTTTTTTTTTTTTAATTTTCACAATTACAGCCATACTACGTACTGACAATATTTCGTGTTTTCTACCCCCTCCAACACAATGCTCCTTCCCGCCAACAAGGTCGAAGGTGTAGGAAGAAAGTATCATAAGCTTGAAAAAGAAACTCCATAAAGCAAAATGTTGGCCACATATGGGTTATGGCTCAGACCAGGACCTCTACAATGGGAATGATGGACCGTCTTACTGGAGACTGGAGACGGTCATTCTCAGAGGATGCCGCACCACGCGTCGTGTGACTGAAGGTTAAGTTCAGTCAGATATGCATGGACAGTTTCTGTGTTCGCACCGGGGGTTGCCTAGGTGATCATATGACGTTTTGAACAACGGATCAACATCATGGCACAAGGGTGTAACCTATAAGTGCTCTGTTCTTCTTCTCTCAAGTCTGAGTCCAAAGAAGCTCAGCACAGTGCACAGGCTCTGCAGCACCGGCGAGGATCCTGAAATACTTTGGGTAGATTTTAAACTCAAAATTCAGCCAGGGCAGCGCAGTAAGGCTTCTCTTTTCGATTGATAAATGTCAAGGGATTTTTTTAAGTGTGCAACAATGCACACGGGCGTCCGATCTCACTACCCAGAGACCAGGGGGAATTACTAGAAGTTAAAGTCCACGTGAAAAGATCCCAGCCCTTACCGGGGATTGAACCTGAAATCTCTAGAACTCGAGGCGGACACCATGTCTCGAGACAACGCAGCCAACCCGAACTTTGACTAAAAAGCTTAACGAATGGGGAGGGGAACAACGTAGACACACAATAACACACACACACACACAGACAGAAGAACGCATACACAGCTGAAACGTTGATTTCTCAGTATATGCGTGTGTGTTGTTACCCTTCCCTCTTTGTTAAGCTTCTTAGTCATAGTTCAGTGGATTCAATTCTTCCATTCGAATTGTTCAAGCGAAACACACAAACAGAGAGAGAGAGAGAGAGAGAGAGAGAGAGAGAGAGAGAGAGAGAGAGAGAGAGAGAGAGAGATAGAGAGAGAGGGAGAGATGAAATGCGAGGGAGGATAGGAAATACAGAGGTAAGAACGTAAGAACGAGAGAGTACAATGAGAAAAAACGAACTTTATTTTCAAAGAGTTACAAACTGGGCACACAGGCCCATCTTACATTCGGCCCTTCCAAGCACTTCTCTTTCAGACAGCAATTGTATTTTTATCAATAAAGCATGTTATGTTTATATAACAATATGCATAATATCAATATCAAGGAAAAACCAAAACCACCCCCCCCCACACACACACACACACAGAGAAAGAGAGAGAGAGAGAGAGAGAGAGAGAGAGAGAGAGAGAGAGAGAGAGAGAGAGAGTACAGAGAGTAGAGACAAAGAGTAAAGAAAGACGTGGTAGAGAACTTGTGCCTGCCCTGGTGAAACGTGTTGTTACTTTTGAGAATGGTTGATTTTGCATTTTAGTTTTAAAGGATACATTTATTCACTTGATTTTTTTTAATTATTCCTGTAACCTGTACCTAGAAATTACAGACGAGTTAAAGTCGAGAGGATAGACTTTATTGTCCCTGGTTATTACATAGGGCGGGGTCTTTTTCCGCAGAACAGCTAGCTGCCACTGGCACAAAGCCCGAACTCCATGAGCTTTAGTAACAATCCCAGGAGTCTCCGTAAAACACACACCCGTGAACTGAACAACGTGTCCGTGAAACTAACCTGCGACCTTCAGAGTACAAGACAAGCGGCTTGACCACTTCGCCACTACAAGACCCCTTAACCCGACGAGATGCAGCCAAATATGCCGGGCAATCTATTGATTCTGTCTTCTTTGTTTAAAATAGACGTTGTTCGGTTATTGCGTTCCAAAGTCGATGCAATTTTTGTTTAAAGCCAAAACCCTGGCTGTTGCTAGGGGGCCTAATATAATCCAACCTATGAGTTAAACAGGGTTTATAGGACCTGTCCCCGGATGATGTTTATCTGAATGGTGGCACTTTGTGTCACCTGGTTTTTATCGCTCGGTGCGCTGTCCTGGCGGGGTTGAACGTCAGTCAGTCTTGGTTTAAAAAAGTGAGGCTAATGCTTTATATCTAATACGTGTCGAAGCACGGGAACAGCTCTTATACTTGTAGGCTTTTTAAAATTTTCAACATAGCCACTCTCGTGTAAGAATTCTTTCATTGTCCATTGTCTCTTTATTTTACTAGAAGTGTCAAGAAAATTTTTAGCACGAGAGGCAAGGAATCAACAGTGTGCACACAAAATAAACCAGATGTGTAAAAGGAATGTGCACACAATACCCAAGTTCTGGAAAAAGACTGAAGTCCAGAAGTGGACGAACAACTTAAACTTTCCGCAAGAGTTTACAGTCAGTCAAGGCGAAGACGAAAGAAAAGAAATCAAAAGTTGCGGTGCTGACCGAAAGAAACGATTACTGAAAAACAGAACATCCAGATACGTTAAACAAAGCATCCCATGGCTTCGTGAATATGAAAATAAGTCAATAACTGTTGAATGGTATCTATTAAATTACTTTCCTTAACTCACAAGTTTAATTCAAATTAGGCGCTTACACGTGTACATACGGTAACAATCTATACAAAGAATGATGGGTGGGGAATTTTTAACCCCCTAATGTAGTCGTATTGTCTTAGGTGCTGCCGGTATGACAAGAAGAGATACAAACAGGAATGAATAAATTAGAAGAAGACTAGGACTGAAACCAGTCATACAATTCCTTAAACAACAACAAATGATATGGGGTGGCCACCTGACGAGAATGCCCTGGTACCAACTGTCACAGAGAGCCACGTTGAAGAAATATATTGAACACAGAGCAAGGGGAAGACCACACAAGATATGGAGCGACACCATCAGGAGCCACCTAATATAAACGAACACCAACTTGTACAATGCATTGGAAAAAGCGCAAAAAACAATCCTTACATCTGCCCTAACACCTCGCTGAGGTAACTGGTGGAAGAGACGAAGAATAATGTAGTCGTCGTATTAGTTTCTTTATGT